TAGAAAATGCACATCAGCTGTTCTGTGCGGGATGGCGAATGGCTACAATATTGTTTGACAGGCTAATCATTTCAGATGGAGATGCGCGTGAAGTGATCCTGTCGATCAGTACGCTCAAGACGCTGAAGATCGAAGATTTATGTTGTCAATGATTTGAATAGATTGCAACGGCAGCAAAAGTGACATTCGGAATTGGAAATGATGCTAGTGGATGTCAGAGGCTACGGAGACGCTGGAACTAGGTTAGTGCAAGGTTGGATGAGAGTAAATTGAAATTACACGTTCACTGACATTTCAATTTCAGCAGAAACCGTTAGCAGCGTCGAAGTAAGCTACCGATACAGTAACTAAATCTCGGCTAAAATCTGCATACCATTTGTGGTTGTGGCGAATGCCCATTGTAGTTTTTTACTACTGTGCATCGATTTAGAGCTTAGACGCCTAACATGGACCCGAAAACGGAAAATTTTCAGATGGAACTTGAATATATGCTTACACTGGACGACATGAACCTGCTGCTGAGGAATCTTATGATCCGAGATGAGCTTATGTCACGGGTAAGAAATCAAATTTTTAATTTCTACCGTCGAATCGCTGACGCATTTTTAGCTGGCAATCAATGACCGTGAAGTTCTGGTACAAAGTAATTTATAAGAAACATTCAAGCGTTAATTTGAGATTAAGTCACTCATTATGTAGCGGCCCGTTGAGCTGGTTTCCTGCTGTGAGGGTTCATCCCGTTAGTCGCTTGAAGTTTCGTTTCTGCACGTGAGGAAGAGATGCATCTCTGCCAGATTGTGAAAACTTATTCTCCACTACTAGTTACAAACAGTTTACACTACAGTACACGGCAATAGTCATACACCTAAGTTATCACTACCAAAAATCATTATCACAAAAGTCGACACTTCAAAATATCATATCACAGCAGAAGTCCACGACACAAACTCACATTGAAAAATTTATCACAACCGGTTTTCAGTTCAGCAGCTGATTGACTCTTTTGTACACGTACCTTAAGCGTTATGTGACATTCGCGTCCACCACCAGCGCGTTTTTCACGAGCACGTTTCCCACTTAGCGCTGTCATGACCACTCAATAGCAACATAACTTTTAACAAGGCCTGTACGGCCTGACAATAACAATAACATTTTCAGTACAACTTATCATAGAGTTCAGGTAAAGAAAGTTTCATATCCACATAAATTTATTCAACTGCTGGCAAAACTGCTCGACGACTTGAATTCGTACAGCGCCAATGAAAGAGTCAAGTTTCAATTAACCATAAAATAGGAAAGAGATCTTTCGAAGAAGAGAACTTACATATGTTGCTTATACTTTCTTGTTATGCGACATGCAAGTTTGCTAAACATGG